CCTAATGGGCATTGCTCATTCTACCTGCTACAGTTCCTTTCACTCTACAATTCTTTTCTTATAGGCATTGTAATTTTTATATTTTAGAAATTCAGGAAAGAAATCACATGTTCTCAAAGGTTTTATTTAGCACATTTACAGAGGCAAAATTTGCATATTTAAGAAGAAGAGTCTGGCTAATCTGTGTGAGCTGGGCTCCATCCTTCTGCTTATTCAATGATCATATGACCCTAGTTTAAAAGTAGTGAAACTCAATTGTGAAGTGTTTCTCTCTTTTATAAGGAAGCATAAGGAGAAAATGCTATTCTTTTTTCTTGGGAGAAAATGGAAGGATAGGAGATAAAAGACGAAGAGGAGAGAAGAAGCAAAATAAATGAGAGAAAATAAAATGGTGTGAACTGACAGCAAGATTAATGAGAAGAAATGGAACCTTAGCCTTGGTGACATAGATGGTTTTGTCTTTTCCAGCACAAACACACATGAAAGCTTCACATGTTTTTACGTATAGTTTGTGGGGTTTAAAATGCTGGAACAAAGTATGAATCAGGTGTTAACTTTACTGGGACATGTCCTTTAATTGTAGCTTGGTTGCTTTTTCCTTTCTTTCTCTCAAGTCATCAAGTAAAAATCCTCTAGTTTTATTGGACTGGGTCCATACAAAGCTAGGCTGCTTCATCAACCTACTGTGCACCCCTCAGTCCTAATCCTAATTACATTTGCCTTAGTTGATCTCTCTGAAGCCAACCCACTTCAGTGTCCTTATATGCTTGCACTTCAATGGTAAAACAAAAAAAAAACAAAAAAAACCAGTGAGGTGCTGTTGTCTCTGCTGCTCTTTTTTCAGTAAACCTCAAATATCAAAAAAGGAAAAACTTTATTATGTACATTTGCAATCAAGTAAGCTAATGACAATACAGAGATCTCCAAGCTGGTTTCCTAATTGCCCCTGTTTTGGTCAGCTGCAAATTGAAGTACTGTATAGAGAGAATTTTCAGTGGAGATTCTGCTGTGAGCAGTTTTGGAATGTAAAATAACTTTTTGTTGTTAGAGGAAGTGTCTTTGTAACTGGGAAAACAGCAATCCTCGGACTTCCCAGAACTGTTAATTTACCTTTTGTCTAAGTGACAGCCTGTTGCTGAGGGTGAAAAATAAATGTTTGCACTCCCCCAAAAAGTGTGAGCAATGTAGTCAGTCTCTGAGGAGCAGGCACTGATTGCCTTTGTGGTCACAGCAGCTTTCATCACCAGTGGATCTAGCTGTTAACTGGAGCTCCTGTGGTATAAAGCAATAACAGTAATAATGGTAATGCAGATCCAGCCTTGATTGCAACAGGGCAGATCCTAAGCAAGGAAAATTAGTGTAGCTCTCAGGGCACAGCAGGGGGAATTAAATGCAGTGCCTCTGGGGTTGTTGTGAGCATGGGGAACAGGCACTCCTCCAGTGTGGTTTTTGGTCCTATTTTGTGCACTCTGAGTTTTTGTCTGGATCAAAGTTCAGGGTTGGTATACAGCTCATTCCAGCAGGAAACACTGTCTTCCTGGCTGGCTGGCTACCACCTTCCATCTTTCTGGAGATACAACTTAATGCCTCTCTTCACTTGGGTTGTATTAAAAATGGTAGAGCTTTTTGTATATTGCTTCTTTGACCACTGTTGGCAGATACTAGTAGGAAATTGGGAAAAAAGGCCACATAACTGAGATGAAAACAAATTGTTCCATATTTTTTCTGTAGTCCTTTATATATTGACATTCAGATAACACTGCATGCCTGAGAATAGGCCAACCTTTACAATTACCCATTAAGGAGTATTTGCTTTGGTTTGTAATAAAAGAATTCTTAGGGATTCCCCTTGCCTATTCTTTTAGGTAAGCTTAATGGGCAGTTCATCTGCTAAAACTTTTCTTCTTCTGTAAAAACAAACTTGCCTTTAAAAAAACCTTCTGATGGGAATTTGAAGTCTTTTGACCTGTTGACTGCTGAGATGCCAGTTATTGCTACAGTGTGCATTTTGAAATTGTTTGGTGATTCCTTGATGAGAAGAGCTCTGGCCCTGCTTGTTAGTCCTCTTTACTCTGAAACAGGGCCTGTAGTTTTTAGTCATGGTTCATCCCAGTAGGCTATACTGCTTCCTGCCTTGATTATACCTGTTTCAACAGTAGCTAGAGGGAGAGAGAGATGCTTCTCTTACAGGTAAGAAGTGGAGACAAAATTACATTATCATCCTTTATCAAAGATTTTGGGTTGACAAGACCAAGAGCAGATGCAGGAGATTTCAACTGTTTGTTTTTTTGGTTTTGGTTTGTTTTTTTTTATAAAAAGGAAAAAAAAAGGCTTTGAGAAATTCAGGCAGTATATGTTAGAACCAATGGAGTAGAACAAATAATGTAGTCTTCTCATGAAAATAATTTAACATTATAATAAGAAGAATAGTAATTTAAGAAATAAACATCCACTGTGCCTCAGTATAGGAGGTAAAAGAATAGAAGACAAAATATAAGAGCCTTCAGTGGTAGTTCCTTGCAACTTAATCTTTGACTAGCAAAACTTGAATGTGTAATGTCCCTGGTGACTGAGGAGAATTTGTGAAATAAAGTGGAAACTTGTAAAATTAAATGAACTGTAACTAACATGGCAGGCAAAATAGTGAGACAAATTTCAGAGGGAGATAAAAGGAGAAGAGAGCATATAGCTTCTTGATGTTTGGCTAGCTTTGTTAAACTCTGCCTGTGTAAATTCCAAATGATGGAAATTGTAATAGAATCAATTTCTCCTCATAGTTTAAATGTGTCTATAATCATATTTCAAAGTCCCATGGATGCTTTGCTAACGAAGAAATTGGAAGATATGTTTTGATTTTTTTTTTAAGTTATGAAGGGTTTTGGAGTTCCTTGCTAAAGGTAAAAATCTATAAGCCTTATGTGACACCCTCTCTGAATCCTTGGGGAACAGAATTTTTACCATAGTCATGAATATATGTGTTTTAATTAAAATCAAAGGTAACACAAATCCCCATAGGCTAAAAGACAGCAAAGATGGCCTTTAATATCAAAGATAAATTTGAGGAAAATATATAGAAATTTTTGCCTAATGAGATTGAACAGCCTGAATTATGAATCACTGATCTTGAGGACTAATAGCAAGACCTGAGTACTTGAGGGTACAACTGACTTTTCTAAACAAGGTCAAGAATTGTGTTGCATCACTGGCCTGCTCAAGGAGCTGACAAAGCATGGATCTATTTATGAGTGCATAATAGAAATGCCAGTATTTTTAATATATATATTGCACATGCCTGACTCTCACATTTTGAGAATGTTATCCACACAGGGAGATAGTTAGAGTGTGAAGGAACTCAAGGGAGAGTAGCCTTTTACTGAACTAAGTAGACTGTTCAAGGTTATGCAAAGTCTAGAGGAAGGGTGGCTTGTAGTGCACAGCTCTTCTTTGTGCCACAGAAAATGAAATCCTCAGTTCCCAGAGGACCTTATCAGAGAAACCCTATCTCTTTCTCTGTGCTTAAATTTATGAAGTCAAGAGAATATAAAGTGTTCAAATTATTAAAAAAGTTTTATATTCTATTCTTTTTATATTTTTTTAAATTGCCTAGTATTTCTGGGTTACTTTCACTATTCTATTTTAAACTGATTATCCTCCTACAAGTGATATTCTCTTGCCATATTACCTGCATTTAGAATTAGTTTTTAATTTTACTTAGAAAATGAAGTCTGAACTAAGAGCAGATCTATAAAGCTAGAAGTAAGTAGGTAAGAGCAAATTATGTAGGTAACTTACCTGCCCTTTGCATTGAAGTTCATGATGCCAGGTACTTTCTCAAATTTGTGTTACTGATGTCCATCTGAGATACAGTCAGTAGAAGAAACAGATTTGTATCTGCAAATGTCAGGTGAGCTTGTATTCTTAGCAGCAAAAAGGTGTTTACATCTAAAATTAAATAACATACTCAGGAAAGCTGTATGTACATACAGGAATTAAAGTAGGATAACAGTATTTAAAACTAACCATGATTAAGTTTTCTGAATTTGTCCTTACTAACAATATTCCACTTAAGAGAAGTCCTAAGACAAAGGATTCAGAAACAGCAATATTATGATAGAACTGGTAACTGAAATCCCAATTTACTTTGAATCATTTTTTTCTGGAAATTACTGACTTGGCATGCCCTTACCAATATGTTGCTTTACTGAGTGAAATGCATGTAAAATTGACTCTTAGGTTGATTAGAACAGCAGAATCTTACTATGATTAAAATCACTGTGGTATCAGTCATCAGATGTCTGGAATTTGCTATTTTCTTTATGCAAGTTAAACAGCTATTTTGTATTTTAATTTTGTTACATATAATATAAAATAAAATAATTTTTTAAATACCGAATGTGATCTTTGATGGGTCATTTCTACTGATTTTAGTTTGCTGCCCAGAAATAGAAATTGGGCTGTATTTAGTTTTACAAATTTGTCAGCTAGTGGTATCTCAGTTTCTTCTATACCAAAGAACAAGCAATGACCAGTTAGATAAAATCATGCAGGTTTGGTATTGTCCATTATCCACACTGGAGCCAAGTGTCCTTGCTCCTGAGATAAAATTAGCATCTCTGATACTCCACTGTGACCACAGGCGGAGAAAGGCAGTAGGTAGCAAAAGCGGAACTGCTAAGCATGCCCACATAAGAATGTCACACTTAGGTAACTGAGTGTCCCTCAGGTCAGCCTACGATAAGAGCAAAGTCAAACAAGGCTGAATCCTTGATGTTTTGTGTTTTAAGTATCTGAAAATTGTTCACGACCAGCCTCGACCTACAAGACCTCAAATGATCATATGAGCAAGGCAATAAATCGGTGTTAACTTGCCCTGGGGCCCATGTTGTAGTTGTGATGTTGTGAAAGTTGCATCTAGTGTTAGCCTGTCCACATAGATCTGCCTGCTTTTTCAGGATTCTCAGACAGGAAAATTTTATATTAACTTTTACTGAAGGGGAACTATGGTGGCTGAATGGGCATGGCTGAAGGGTTCTGCATCGTATCAGTGCAGTCCAGTGGAGATGCACAGGAATACCACAGCATCAGGAGAGCTGGGGAACCACTTGCTTTCCAAAACTCCACACCTGAGCAAGATTTTGGCAAAGCCAACGATTTGTAGCCCTGCAGTATTTGCCAAACATCCAGGACGTGGCCTCCCGTTGTGGGACAGACTGATTCACCTTCCTGACAGAAATCAGAAATGGAATGTAGTGGGCATAACAGAAAATCATTTCTGTAGGAAAAGACACTTCAAAAATTATGATATCCAGAGGAATGGACAGCAGCTTTCGCAATGCCGACATGCTTCAACTTGGACTAGTACAATTTTACAGCCAGGCTATACAAAAGCAAACTTTCAAATCATGTCAAGTGCCCAGGAATACCAAAAAGAAGAAAAAAAGTGTAAAGGTAACTGACATTATCATGCAGAGCACAGCAAATGCTGTATCTAGAAAAAACAAAAAGCAAAACCAGCTTATGTCTTTGTTTACTGTCAGGGGTTTGGCCATTGGTAAAAGCATTATTATGTGGGGATGTTTTCTAGCTACCAACCTTTTTTTAATTTATTTGGTTTTTATCAGTGGTAATTGCGGTTTTTAGTTTTCTCTTCTATTTAATTTAATAGCTTTGTGAAGAGCCCTTACGACAATGTGGTTAGTACTTACTGGGGTTTTCTGTGTGATACCTATACAGAATAACATCTCTTCTTTTAGAGCTTTTAAAAAGTATTTGTCTCTCTCCTTATGATCTTTATAAGCTGATCAAAAATCTTTTCTGAACTTGGCCTTTTTTTTAAAGCATATCTTTGATACATTCAAAATGCAAAGACAAAAGAAAGCCTTCTTTTCTACTTTCAGGGTGTTCAGCTCTCAGCAGTGACTCTGTTGTTTGCCTTCTTTCTTAATATTAACCATACCCAAAGCCTCAGTGGGTACATGTACAGAGCTCAAGTGGGACTTCTTGTTAGGAATATTCTCTGCCTCACTAGTCAGGAGAATAGACCATTTTCTCTGAGGTAGGTTGTTTTCACATCAGCACAGCATTGAAGGAACTTCTTTTAAGAATCGCAGTTGCTAGGGTATTAGCACAAATGTAGTGCTTAAGTTATTCCTCTTTAAACTTGGATAAATGGTTCTTCATTGCTCTTCACCTAAAAAATAATTACTGTATATTGTGAGGGGGGATTACAAGTTGTTTTCTTTTACTTAAGTCTTGCGTCACTCCAGGAAGAAAGATTACAGTGTCAGGCAGGATATCACCTCATGAAAAAGTTAAACTGGTCTAAGTACCTGATTTCTTTAGATTTAGTTGTGCTTTACCTCAGAATGCCTCTTTGCTAACAGATGTCAGGTGTTGATCGCTTTAACGTCTTACTAAGGGCTGTCAGGAGGCTACCAAACCCAGACAGTCCCATCCAGGAGCCTGTTAATTATGTTATGTCAAGCTAAATTAGCCTGTTTTCTGCTTGGTTTTATTTTTGAACAAATGAAACTTCTTACCTTGATGTTTTCATGTGAAGTTGAGGCAGGGAATGACTCAAAAAAGGTACATGTTTTAAGTGTTGGCCATTACTTTCTCAAGAGATAAGCTCTGTAATTAACTGATGTCTGCTAACAGGGTCTTCCAATTATGATATATGGGGAGGCTTAACAAAGTGGGTTGTCTGGGTCACAGGTCTATAATTACTCTTAGTAATATTTGTTTGGGGACCATCTTAAAAGTCATCCAAACTATTGAAGAATTTTGTTTGCTCATTTGTTGGCTGACATCTCAAGGAGTAAATGCTTTCTGACAAGACCGTGTGCTACCTATCCATGTCATGAATAGTGCAAAAAAAAGCAAGCACAAACCCTGGAGGAGTCCTCATCAGAAAAGAGCAAGCTCCATTCTCTTTTTACCAAATTTATTCAAGGTGTCAAAAATATTTTGAGGGATAGCTGGAATTGTAGTGTATCTGAACGTTTAAATATAAACTATGACATTCTTTGTTATTCAAGCAGACTAATGAGTCTGAAGTATTTCAATAAAAGGCACATCACACTGGCATTTTATGAGTCACAGACAAATTTAGTGTCATGTCATAACCAAGGTACAGTGGGTTTTGTGAGAGGAGCAGTTTTAGAGAAATAACTAAGTTGGTACACGTGGAGAAAAGAGGTGTGCTGTTGTCTAAGTGAGATTTTCATCTAGTTTGTACCACAGGGCAGCTAGTTTGAATCTTCCTGCAAACTGTTGCAACTTCCTGCATCTGTTGCAAACCAAAGAAAATCATTTTATGTCCGAAAGATTTAGCTTTTTCTCCTTCAACTATTATAAATAGTTGAAGGAGAAGTATCATAGAAGTATCATAGACAAAAAGATTTTTTTAATGTCTTATCTTCCACTGAGACATACTCGTCCAGTGCCATTGTGACTTTTCAGCACCAGAATTCCATAATCCTACCTTATGATTTAGTCACAAGTAGAGTTTTCAAAATAAAATAAAAACCATGAATAATTAATTTTCTGTTCTTGTAAATGCTTGTTGTTATTTTGGATTCTGATGTTTGAGGTTTTCTTAAGTTAATCTCTAAGTTTGCGTAGTCATACTTCTGAGGGACCATTTTGAGTCTTTGATAATAGTGCATAAAGTGAATGAATAAGGTGGTGCAAATACATATATTAAAGAGAGATGGTAACTCATTGTGTGGGCCCAGAGAGAGTTGTATTTGACAACTTATGGGTGTTGCAAAAATGACATTAGTAGTTTTGCTCAAAAGCTGTTGCAGTTTTCAGTATATGTTCCTTATGATATGAGAAGATCTGTCTGGAATGTAGCCCATGTTATGAAAGTGCTGATTTGTGTTTGCTTAGAAAAGCCATGATCTATTTTCTTTTTTTTTTCCCAAAACCATCAGAGTTGGCTGAGACAATTCAGGCAACAATAAAATCCATAAATAGGAAATATAACAGTTATTTTGTAATGTGTAAAAATTCATTTTACAAAGCTAGGAACTGATAATACAGGCATACAAAACTGTGAAGAGTTCAGAACAGTATGTTTAATCTTTGCAACTACGTGTTTAAATGTGTAAAGTTTTTTAGTAAATCCTGGATTTTTATTCATCTTTATGCATGAAGTCTGAACAGCAACCAAGATAAGATCCTTCCATTTGGTCCTTCAGCAGTAGCACTCTGCCCTGACTGATTTCTGATTTGAATGCTCTGCAATACCTCCCACATACTGACACTGCTGAATCTTTTAGAATGGCGTGCAGGGGCCCTATCTGCAGCATTGCGATACCCAGGACTCTAGACCAGGGGTGCACAGTTTGGAAAAAGTCAGGAGAATAGGACTCTTGCAGGTAATATTCCACAGCAGATTAAATTGCACTTCATGATACTTCTTTTTTCTGTGTCAGGGACCTCTGTTGGTTGGGCTGTAGTGTTCAGAGGGACGCGACAGGATTTTTGTCTTGCCTTAACATTTCTGTGGGTTCGTTTTGGTGGGTTTTCTAACCAAGCTAAATCACAAGAGAAGTGCATCTTAATGGGGTATTTCATTGTTTGTAATTAAAAATCTTAGTCATAATTTGTAAAACAGGAGTTAATGAAGAGCTGAATGGTGTAGTGTAAGGCGGTCTCTTCTGCAGATTCCCCCTTTCAGGCATTCACAGCCTTATTTTTGCCCACCCAGTTAATATCACTGACTGCGTTAGACTTACTTCTGATTTACACCAGGGTGAGTATATAAAAACCTTTGGGGCATTCCAAAGTTCAACAAGTAATTCCTGTCTTTTTTAGAACAATGGACTAACACCTTAGACTGTGAGAGGTTTGAGCTTTGGATCCTCTGCCATTACAATGTCAAAATTTCTGTTTTATTCCTGGCCTGTTTGCTTGAATTGAAGGGTTTATTCTGATGGTGATTAACTTCCGTGTGTTCACATAATCAGGCACGTGTGAACTCATAAAATTCCAAGTGTGATATTACATTGCTGGAGGCAACAAAAGCTCAACATGACATGATGTAAAGACATAAATATTCAAATAGGAATACAAAACAAAGAAAAAAAATATTATTCTACTCCACTTTCAGACTTTTGATAAAGAAGACACTGTCTGACTATCTTGTATCAGAGAATTTAATTCAAAGGTGTACATGAAATGAACCTACAGGATTGGACCCTAAAAGATTAGCATGAAAATATTTTAGGAATATTTCAGTTTTTAAAATCTTTGCAGTGTTCTTTGAAGTGATTTGTTTCCAAGGGAACAACAATCTGCAGAGCTATAAATCTCTTTAATAGTAACATATCACAGGTAAGAAACCCACATTCCCTGGTAGTGTTCATAATTTTTTTTTTGCTTGTTGGAAAAGTAATTTTTCATTTTTTCCTTATCCTTCACAGTTTCATGTAATTTAATTTCCTTAAGGTATTAAAGGAACTCTTGACAAAAATAGTACATGTAACACATTTCTGAGCATCATTGATGTAGCTTAGAAAATAAGAAATGTTTAAGGGATTTATTTTGAAACAGAAAGTAACTCACAGGCTGTGCCATGTTGAAATACCATTTCCTCAGGTGCCGTCCTGGCTGGAACAGCTCTGTCTACAGAAGGCTTCAATTCTGTTTAGTTTTTCAGTAACAAACCTAAATCCAGTCAGAGGGGGAAAAAACAAGAAAATGAAAGATTCGTGAGAATTTTGACTTTGCTGGCAAAGCAAATCCACATGGGAAAAATTCTCACTAAGAATTTAAAGCCCAGCTTTTCTGGGTGGTGTCAAAGTATCTAGGTATTGTGTTCTGCTAACCTGTAAAACACAGCCTCACCTCTGTGGGAGCTCTGCATAAGTTCCTGTTGGTGGTACAGGGCATCTTTTTGTGGTAAATTAACAACCTAGGTACGGCACTTGGGAATGTTTTATTGGGAGCATGGAGAAGTAAATTCAGCAAGCTGTATATATTTCATACACTACAGCATTACCAACCCATCCCCTCAGCGGGAATGGTTTGGGGGTTTCGGTATAAACAACTATTGCAGAATTTCTTGAATGAAACAGGCGTTTTTATGAAGTGCTGAACACCCATTATTGAAAAATCAGATCTTGCATGAGACATGCTTTTTATCACAGGCAAACTCACTGTTTTTAAAATCTAGATGATGGGCCTGAACTAAAATTAAAATTAACTTTTATTGTGTGCTTTTCACACTGTATTTTACAGTGGTATTTTTGAGTTAGACAATGGTAAATGAGTGAGGGTTCATTAGGGTTTTACTTGTTGGATTTCAGTAACTGTTTGCGATCTTCATGAAATAAAATGTTTAAATTATTAGATTTTAGGAGAACAAGTTCATTTTAGAGGCAACTTCATTGACTTCAGTAGCACTGATCTCAATAGAATTCAGTTTGATTTACCAAATG